GAGGAGAGAGAGAGAGAGAGAGAGAGAGAGAGAGAGAGAGAGAGAGAGAGAGTCAAGCCAGAAAAACAGGAATGAAGTTTATGAAATAAATGTTTTTCACAATAGATACTACAGGGAAAACATTTCTGAATTTTTTAAAAAGCAGTATGAAAGAGGCTTACTTTTAAGTAATATACTCAGGAATCTGTTTCTTTATGTGTTAATTGTAGATGCGCTCTGGAGGTTTAGCTCATTACTAGGGAGAAGTAGGGACCCATCTCTGTGCCCGTCCATCTCCTCTCTGTACTGTTCAACTTCTGATGAAGTGAAACAGCATTTTATTATGAAAACTTAAAGTAGCTGCATTCAGTTTTTATGTTTTCCATGTGCTGATACTGGCTGGTTCTGAAAAGAATTAGAAAGCAATAAAAGCCGCTTATCAAATTTTGATTATTTAAATAGATTTATGTAGACGCAGGTAGGATGAGTTAGACGCATAAATTTAGTCTTATTGTTACTCATTTTGCCACCAGAAATATGCATTCAATGAAGTAGGGTATTCCTTTAATTTCTTTGAATGTTCACATCTATTTCATAGTTTGTGTTGTATGCTTCGCTCCTGCTTTCTCTGGAGTGTCTGACTGCCCCTTCCCACACTGCCACAGCCTCTCTGCCGCTGAGCTGTCTGAGTTGTGTATGTTGAATGTTGACTTCAGCTGACATCTTTTTTTAATGCTCTTCTTTCCTGTTTGAGTGGTTTTTTTTTGTTTTGTTTTTTTTCTGAATTCTTTACTTTCTTAGTTTCTTGCTTTTTCCTTCCTGAACTATGTTTTGATTTATTGAAATATACCCTCTCTACAGAGAGTGAGTGTGAGAGGTCAACTTGCTGGCTTTTTGAACCTTTTTTTCTTTTTTAACGTCTTGGTACAGGGTCTCCCTACACAGCTTTACTTGTGCTCCTCCTGCTTTCAGCCTCCCCAGCGCTGGGATTACAGGTGTGGCCCACCACGCCAGGACTTGGTTGTTGGCTCAGTGTGCCTGGGGGTGGGGCAGGCACAGCCTGTGGTTCAGGGTCCCCATGCCCAGTCCCTGAGTTTACCTAAGCAGGCGCTTAATCTCCTGCGTTCTCTAGCCCACCCTTTTTGAGCCATTTAAACTGAAATTTTATACCCGCATTTTTAATTAGGCTTGATTAACATTCTTAAATGAAAGTTGTTCTTTAGCACCTGAAAAGTTTTGCCTTTTAGCTTCTAGAGATGTGATGAAAAATTTGAAGGGAAAGAAATGATTTGCCCTTGAGGTGACCTGCGTTTTATCTGCATCTGCGGAACTTGTCAGCGCTTCTCCCTGGAGTGTGCCTGGTGCGGCCTCCTCCTGCTGAAGGCTCCTGGCTCTCTGGAGCGGCAGCTGTCATACCTGTGCCCCATGCATTTCAGGAGGACCGCTGGCCATCGGGCCAAGTGGGTGGCTTGTTGCAGGGATCTCTGATCTGTCAGGATGTAGCGTTTTTATAATGTGCCTGTTCAGAGGGAGGCCTTTGCCCCCCCCCATGACACTAATGGTAGAAGATCTTGGTGTTTGCTATTGTTGTCATTTTGCTGTGTCTCCTTGAAGTGAGGGGGATTTTGGTAAGACGAGCGCTTCTGTGTATATTGATAACCTCGCCCTGGAGGACCCTTAGATTTCTCATGGATTGCTGTATGTACAGACCACAGCCTTTTCACCATTGCGCGCCTCTCCTCTTTGCCTGTGGAGTGCCCTTGTGAGACGCCCGAGAGTGCAAGTGGCAGGGAATCTGCATCAGTAAGGTGGACGAGAGCAGAAGGCAAAGCCCAGGATCAGAGTCCCGTTGAGCAGGACTTTACCCAGTGCTGGGACCAACACTCACTTGGGTGTCTATTTAGACAATTAAACCACAACTCTAAGTTTGCCTTTGTACTAAAACATGCCCTGAATCATTTGGCTTCTGAAGTTGATTCTGTGGAGTGGAAAGCCATACTTTTTATACCAATGTATTTGTTTTCCCAAATTTCAAGAGTGGAGTGGTGTTTCGGAGCTCACTGCAGATTGTTCTGCTTCGGAAGCCTTGCTCTTGCCATCCTCTGCCCTGGTGTCCTGTGGATCCTCATGTTCTGCTTAGTACACGCTGTTGGGTGTGTGCCGTCCCTTGTCAGTGTTCCATTCTCTGCTGTCTGCTCTCCCGTGGGCTGCACAGCATGTGAAAAGCAAATCCTTAAAATAGATGGGGTGGAGCAAATATGCCACACCGACGCTTCTGTTTCCTCGCACCCTGGGCGTCCTGGCAAGCCTCGTGTGGTTGCAGTTCTCTGACATAAATGAGCACAGTTGATGCAGAAATACGGTTTTGGCGTTACAGAGTCTTCCCTTCTGACTTTCTGACTGTTTTTCTTAAGTTGCCTGAGAACCAGCTTGAGGTGTGTGCCTGTGTCAGTAACCTTTTCAATGTTTTGAAAATATCCAATAGTTCTTTCAAAGCAGCTGCAGAGAATTCTTGTGTAAAGGAACCTTCATGAAGAACTTTTTGAGGATCAAATGTAATTGTTTCACTTTACTGTCTATAGCAAAATGACTGAATTTCCTTTTGATGACCTTGAAATTTAAGGGAAACTTCTGGAAGGATGTGCTGCCTGAGTTTTGGTGATCTGGGCTTGGAAAGTCCTTGGCACCCCTGCTGCTTCCAGACTGGGCTCTTTATGTGTCTCTCTATTCATTTAAGAAACAAAAGGCTCCCAGTGCAGACAGTTAAGATAGCCCCAGGGGACACAGAGGCAATTAGTCACTGACACGACTCCTTGGGGTTCAAACAGCTGTGCAATCCGGAGAGCTGGGCAGCGTGGGGAGGTTGTGAGGCTTGCGTAGCACGTGATGAGAGGGCAGCCCAGAGTGAGAGCTCGAGGCTGCGGAAAGCCGGAGGAGGGGCAGAGTGAAGCGTCTGAGAGGTGCGCGCCTCCTTCTTCAGTAACCCGCTCAGCTGCATTTATCAGGCTGAGGTTCAGCTCTTGGCAGGCTCTAGAGACCAGTGTGCTGTCCCCGTAGCAGGCGGTCTGAAAGCGAAGGATGAGTGAGCGAATGAATGGCTGAGGGGCGAATGAATGGAGCAGCTGGACAGTGTTATTTAGCAGATGCCTGCAGAACCTAGTCTGAAAAGATTTTATAGACCAGGAAATACTCCGTGGTCCATGCTGACCCCGCCCCCGGAATGCGCTGAGATGGCGATTGAGACTGGGCATGGTGGAGTGCACCTGTAATTCCAGCTCTTGGGAGGCTCTAAACAGGCGGATCATTACAAGTCTGATCGAGTCTGATCTAGTAGTGAGACCCTGCATACCCTTCTGTAAAAATAAATAAATAAATAAATAAAAAAAGGATGTAAGCCATAGCATTGTAAAATTAATGTTTCTGATCAGTTTTGTAAACCACGTATAACTTCTTGTATTTTTCAAAAAAAAAATACTGCCTCTAGAATTAATTTTCTGATAGACATTTCAGCATTATGAAGCCTCACAGCGAGCTGTACGAAGTGGGAGATGCATCACATTTCATTAAGTGTGTCGCATCTTGTCTTAATATCCCCGTGGTGTTTGCAGTTCTGTATTGATTTTGTGTTGTCACATGCCTCTAATAATACTGAATATATTGATAAATTAGATTTTGGAAAGGTAGACTATCTGAGATGCTGAGCGTTCGTGATGCATTGGGCTTCCTATGAGTTGGTTGGTGCTGGAGGGGTGAATTGATAAATGCTGTGTCGCTGCTGTGGTCCTGGGTCTGTGTCAAGCACTGGGAAAATGCCGAGGAGGCTGCAGGCCTGCAGAGCCTTTGGCGGGCAGGCTGGGAGCACAAAGCTGGTACCGTGTTCAACAAGCAGTCGGAAGTGTGGGGGAAGTCCTGCATGTCATGGAGTGCAGTAGAGGTTCAGAGGAGGATGAGAGGACCAGAGAATCCAAGGAGAAGAGGGCTTTCTTAGCTGGTTATTAAGGGTACTTGGTTTTTGATCATAGATAATAATAATTGAGCAGATTAAAAGGAAAAGATGAATAAGGGAGGAGAATAAAGCTGCCAAGTTATTAGTGGTCTTGACCCATGTTTGCTGTGTCATCCAATGCTATCGAAGGTTTTTATTAAATTGAAAATGTTTTATCTGTTCTTATTGTCTTTGTTTATTATAGTTGGATACTGTGGTATTGGTGAATATATTTCCTCCAATTCCACCTGTAAGTCCTAGATTTGGGAAAATTCGGAATATTTCTTTAGTCATTACTCCAGCCATTGCAAATGGAGAAATTGGCTTCATTAGCAATCTTCCAATCGTTTTGCATGAACCAGAAGATTCTGCAGCTGAAGTGGTAAGTGAGCTCTTTATTACTGATGGCATCTAATGAGTTTGAGTTATAGATGGTGTGTTGGTTGGCTGCCTATGTTTGGGACATAATACCTAAAATGACACAACTTCAAGGAGGATTTAATGTGACTCATAGTTTCAGAGGTTTTAGTCCATGGGCAGCTGTCCCTGCTGCTGGTGGGCTTGTGGCAGAGCAGATGCATCATGGTGGAAGAGGACTGGAAGGGGAAGGCTGCTTACGTCATGGTAGCCAGGAAGTAGAGAGGGCTGGGAGAGCCAGGGAAAGATGCTCCCGCTCAGTGAGCTGTTTCCCTCAACAGGTACAGTCTCTGTGAGCTCATCTGTGGGGAGTCCACCAGCACCCTCACAGTCTAGTGTTAATCCAACCAAGTCAGTAGTCATATTTTTTTAATTTTATTTTTGGCGAACCCGGGGATTGAACTTGGGCCCTTGAACTTGCCAGACAGGTGCTTATTCCACTGAGCCATCTCCCCAGCTCCAGCAGTCATATTTAGCTGTCACAGCACAAACACTAATTTTTAAAATACAGGGCTAGCATACAATGATGACAAATCTTCAAAAGCTTCACCATTTATAGCAGACCTTCAATATATAATTTAACAGAAGTCACTAGTGAATGTGTGATTTTTCTTATATTTGATACAATAGAGCTAGAATTAAATGTTCATGGTAAGCGTAGGATATATAAATGTGAATACTTTGAAATAGTACCGTGACATCTGATGATAGCTGAACACAAATCAGTTTTCAGGGTCTCACTGCGCAGCTTGGACTCATAGTGATCCTCCTGTTTTCAGCCTCCCCAGCACTGGAATTACAGGTGTGTGCCACCACTCCCGGACTTGGTTTCTGGCTCATTGTGCCATAGGGGTGGGGCTGGCATGGTATGCTGGACTGGGATTGAACCGTGGTCCCAGTGCTTGCCAGAGTAGGCACTTAGTCTGCTGAGCTATCTTGCCAGCCCTCAAATCAGTCTTTTAAGTTGTGGTAGCGCAGCTGTTCCTGACCTGCTGTGTATCTCGGCTCCTGTACTGTCCTTGGGTGGGGCCGTGGTGGCAGCCTTCAGTGCTGTGCTTTGTGCTAGAGGTGATGGCGTTAAGTTGTGAGATGTTGCAACTTCAGAATTTTAAAAATGTATACATGCAAATTTTGCTCGCACACATATAAGAGCGTGGCTACGTGCTGAGCGCCTCCTCACACCTGTTTGAACTTCTTTCCAAACCTGCACTTATCAAGGGACCGTTCTGTCCCTCTGCTGTGCCAGTCCCTGAGCCCCCATCTTTCTGAGGCTCTCTCAAGCCCCTTCCACTTGGAGTTGATTCCCATTGGGTTGAGACCTAGAGGAGCAGAGAGGTGCTGTCCCGTCCTCAGGTCCAGAGGGTTTCCTTTGCATCTCAGATTCTGTAAATGGACAGAGAAAACTCACATCTCAAAAGCATTTTGATTTTTTTAATGTTTTTAAAAATAAGCTGTTTCTTTCAAAAACTAAAAAGCATCTTTTTGTTCTTGAAGAATAGGTTGTTCTATATATCATATAAAGCTATATATTTACTATTTCTGCCCTTTCCCTCGAGAGAAGCTAGTTTTTAAGAGAAGTTGGGGACTCTGAGGATCTGTACTCTTCCCTTGGGAAATGGCATTCACAGTAGGAGCTTCCCGCTTTCCTCTGAGTACACGCGTCCCCTCGGTGCAGGGACCAGCCCTGTGCGAGTATGTCCACCCCCCAAGGGTCTGCACCACGCGTCAGTTTTTCTGTTGTTTCATTTCTAATTTGTACTCTCTTTCAAAACAAAACAAATGAAAGAATCTTACTTTGTTCACTGATCTCCAATTCTGACCATGACCCATCAGTCAAAGTAGCAGAATGGTCCTTTGTGAAAGTGTGTGTGTGTGTGTGTGTGTGTGTGTGTGTGTGTGTGTGCTCTAAGATGAGGTGTGTTAAAAAGTAAAGAAAAGGGATGATGGCTATTATTTTAGGAGCATAAAATGAAGCCCTGCTACCTTAAGTATTTGTGTAGTTGAAAAGTCTTCACTGTGATTATAGTGAGCCTTTTAAATTATATGTATTTAAAGTATAGTACGTTTGAACAAAACTTACCAGTAGAATTTAAGAATTAGCAACAATATATCTAGCTTGTATGATGAGAGACTGTTCTAGAAACTTTATTTAAACCATCTCTTACCGTCATGATAAGCTTGCAAAATTGGGAATCATTAGCCTCAGTACAGAGGAGGAAATTAAGTCATATTAAGTAACCTGCTCAACAAAACCAGGAGGCCTGCTACCGTTCTAATCTTATTTTTACTCCATGCATACATAGTATTGCTGGAAACATTCTCTTGTTTTGCCCCCTTTCACTGTAGGGAGCATTTCATGTGACCTAAGTTTTGTGTTTTAATTATAGAAGTTTTCAGTTTACATTTTGATATTGTTTCTTTTCCCAAAGAACCTCTGATGGAAAGGTTTTCTTTAAGCAAGATGATTCTGTTTTTCCTGATTCTCTGGCTTTTCAAGTCTCACAGTTGTGCGGATGACTTTACAGATAGAGCGGATGAGCAAAACTAAAGCAGCACAACGTGTCTAAAATGATCCTCAGGCTTCGAGAGCGTCTCTTCAGTTGTGTTTTAATGTTCTTTCATAGTTGTCCTTCTAGAGCTCACATATTCGCCCAACGATACTGCGTGTGTTGAGCGTGAAACTGATACTAGTTTTGAGCATGTATTTCAGCAGAATTGTTCTGAGTGTGTGTGTCCGGCTTTGTTTCTGTAAGGTATACATTCCTTTGCATCGGGACGGAACTGACGGCCAGGCCACTGTCTACTGGAGTTTGAAGCCCTCTGGCTTTAATTCACAAGCCGTGACCATGGATGATATCGAGCCCTTTAGTGGCTCTGTTGTATTTTTATCTGGGCAGAGTGACACAACGATCAACATTACTGTCAAAGCGGATGACATTCCAGAGATGAACGAAACTGTAACACTTTCTCTAGACAGGTAATACAACATTTAGGTACTATGTAGTGGGATTTATATGTTTGAGTTCTCTTAAGTAATTTTATTTTTGCTTTAATTCTTTTCTCTATATGAAATTTTAAAAGTGAAATAAATAGTGTTTTGCTGACTTCTGTCATTTAGTGATGGCTTCTGGTTATGAATGTAATTATATCTTTTAGTGCTGTTTGTCACAAAGAAGCCTACATACATGGTTCAGGGGAGGGTTAGATGTATTTGAAGCATGTCCAGTATAGTGTGATATTTTAAAAGAACATGAAAACATCCAAAATGAAAAATGTGAGGTTAAGCAAAGAGCTCCGCTGGTTTCATTTTTAACAGGGGAGAGGGTCAGAGCTTTATTGGGTAAAAAATCATAATTTATTATTTTTATATTTTTCCCATAATTTTATTGAGAAACAAATAGCAATGAGATAGTTTCAAATCAAATTGGTGGGACAGTTTCAATAACTAACACATTGCATGCTGTCTTCATAACTTATTATTTTTAAATAGTATTTAAAGACTAATACCTATTTTAGACAGCTAAAAATTACACAATTGGAAGGGTGCTGTCCAGTATTAACAAGCAGTTACTTAGAATTTCTCAGAGAGAATGTTCTCTATGCTAATATCACAATCTCTTATCAGAGTTTTTCACAGTAGTTTAGAATATTCTTTCTTTCTTTCCTTCCTTCCTTCCTTCTTTCCTTCTTTCCTTCCTTCCTTCCTTTTTTCTTTCTTTCTTCCTTTCTTTCTTTCTTTTTTGGTGGAACCAGGGATTGAACTCAGGCCCTTGCACTTGCCAGGGAAGCGCTTATTCCACTGAGCCATCTCCCGGCCCAAGAGTATTCTTTTTTAAAATGAAAACATACTGTTTTTAATTGATATTAATGATTTTTAAAACTGAAGTCATCTTCTGCAGATCTCATTATACTGATAACTGCTGCAGACCAGGGAAGGCTACTGTGGCCTGAAGACACTGCAGACTTCATATTTTGAAAGAGTAAAATTCATGAGTAAATGAGATGTTTTGTGCATGTTCTTCTGGAGTGAAGTGGTAAAAATTACTTATATAATTATTGAACCATTCTCTATCCTATTACCAAATTTTATTAGTTTTTGTTTCTATGAAGATATTTTGTCTGAACACATTTTAAAACCCTGATGATTAGTTGTTTAATTTATTTCATTTTGTATTTTGAGACAGGGTCTCTCTCAGTGGTTCAGGCTAGCTTTGAACTCACTATGTAGCCCAGGCTGGCCTTAAACTCATAACAATCCTCCTGCCTCAGCCTCTTGAGTGCTGGGATTACAGGTGTGTGCCAATATGTCCAGCTTGTTCTTTTATTTTTTGTGAAATAAAAATAGAGACCACAGAGCACAAATCTGCTACGTGATCACTATTTATTCTGTTCTCTGAACTACATTGTGTTACTTCCTTCCTTTCTTGAAAAATAAAACAAAAACAAAATGATAGAAAACCCAAAAAGTGAGCACCAAATATCACATACACACACACACACACACACACACACACACACACACACACACACAGTTTAATTGATGTGGGCCCAGAAGTTTTTAGATGACGTCTTGAGCAAAGATATGTCATAGGAATGAAAAGCCATCAGTGAAATGAAATGTAGATGTGAATTCTTTTCCTACCTGTCCTTTCTGCCTTACACTAGGTGTAAATACCTATTAAGTCAGTGAACAATCCTGAAGAAAACTAAGGAAAATTTAACTGATTATAAACCAAAAGCAATACATAAAATCATTGTTACTTCAGCCAAGACTTTTTGCTGTCAACTAAATGTTTAAAGAATTACTTCAGTTATTAGGGCTGGCCAGATAGCTCAGTGGATTAAAGTGCCTGCAAGTAGATGCAGGGACTGGGGTTCGATCCCTGGGCCTGCTGGACCAGTCCCATCCCTGGGGTGCGCTGAGACAGCAATTGAGACTGGGCATGGTGGTGTGAGCCTGTAATCCCAGCTCTTGGGAGGCTGTAAACAGGTGGATCACTAGGAGTCTGATCTAGTAGTGAGACCCTGAACACCCTGTACTCCCCTAAAATACAGAAAAAAAAGAATTTTACTTGAATCATGCCTTTGCAAATTCATAGTGACTTTTAATATTTTTCCACATAGCCATTTTTTATCTCATCACATAAACCTTGGAAATGAAACATGATTTTAACTTTTGTTTTCACTATTCTTCCTCTCTCTTATTTGCTTAAAAAGTGTGAAAGGAAGTACAAATTATAAAGTAGAAAAATTCGGAAATTATTGGTTCTTTTTAAATAGAAGTAATTAGTTAAAATGTACAATGAAATGTCTTAATTCTGTTTGAAATTATTGCATGAAGAAGAATAAGGAAAAAGTGCTTTAGTGTTCAAAAACTTACCTATGTGCATATGAGAAGAAAGTCTATGATTTGGAAGAAACTATCTTATCAAAACTTCTTAATTTCTGCAAAATTTTAACAGAGTTTAAGTGAAGAAATGAAGGAGTGATTGTGTCATTACCGTGAGTGACAATACAGTGATTTACAAAATCATAGCACTACTTCAGTACACTTCATAATTTTCTTTATAATGTCAAATGCAAATTCTTTACACATCAACTGAATACCGTATAGCCAAAAGCTGCCCTGGAACCAAACAATTTATTTTTTTTTAAATACTGTACCACTTAAAGTATTTTGTTGCTTAATTTTTTCCAGATCAGAAGCAATTTTATTATAGCACCTAATTTCAGAGCAGTGTAATTATGTACCATAGAACTCTCTGTCTCTAAGTAGTATATCTGTTTGTACAAATTAAGCTCATAGTCTGTACATTTTGATATGTGGTTTCTAAGGCTTATTTGAAAATGAAATAAATTGGAAATTTGAAAATGTACTTAGGTTTCCTGATACAAAGTTGGGGCTAAAAGTTATACTTTATGGCTTCTTGAGTGCATTTGTGTGCAAGCAATGAAAGATGCAGATTTCTGTGCTTGTAGAGTTTTGATTTTACTTACCCGGGAACAACTGGCTTTCGATCTGAGGACGGAATTTTTTTAAACCTAATGAAAGCTGCTGAGTGATTATGCGCAGGGCTGAATGCACTTTGCTCAGCTGCTGCGGCCTCCTGCACGGGCTTCTCAGGCCCCGAGCTAGCAGGGCCCAGAGAGGAAGGCTGTGAACGGCTCTCGGCACGCTGTCTGCCAGGGGTCGCCTTCCCCAAGTGGGGACCGCTGAGCATGTGTCAATAGTGAAGGGCCCCGTGTGCCCAGTTCCCATAGTACGAAAATTACGGGCGCTTGGGAAAAAAGGAAATGCTTTCTTTAGCTTTACTTTTACCCTGCCACTCCACATTTCTCACAGTATTAGTGAAATTTTGGCAAAGGCTGCCTTCGCCTCCTTTCCCCCTCCCACGGTTCTTTCTGTACCGACAGGGTAGAGACTGAAAGATTTGTCGTGTATTTTGGGTAAGTGTACAAAAAAAGGCATGTTTTTGGTGATTCAACGTTTCTGTTGTGGAAGATTGTTTGGATGGGCTGCCGTTCCGCATGACCGCGCGTCTCGGGAAGCTTTGCTTGTCCGCCCGCCTGTGCATGGCTTGTGTGTGGCTTTGCTTTCTAGTGATAACAGGACCTTGTTTGAAGTTTTTGAGTTATTTTGTCCTAAGAGTTTTAAAATATAAATACATTTAAAATTTTTGACAAAATATGTGAGAATTAGTTATCAAAGATTTTGAAGAATTTAAAAATAACTTTCTGTACGCTTACACATAGAGAACAATCATTGTGCTTTACTCATGAAATCTTTTATGAATCTTGGATAAGAAAAAATTAGCCATGAGTAACGAACTCTTGTGTTGCTTTTATGAATGTGGTTAAGCAGTTTGGTGCTTTTCACCTGAGTTAAATATATAGAACTTTTCAGAATTTGCACTTTACACAAGGGCAGCATATTTCAAGAAAGTTTTAAAATAAATGCATTTGTTTAACGGGCATAGTAGTTTTGTATATTCTGTACTTTGATTAAGTTTTCATGTCTACATAAGCTAAATGTGGACAGGAAATTTAGTTAGGATAGTGAGATAAGTGAAATATGGGCAGATTTCCTGTGAAAATTATGGCAAGATTAGCACTATAGTGACTATTTATCTTACTACTTGATTTATGTCCCATTGGTCCGTGGAGTGCTAGGTCCGGGTGGTCAGACTTCCCAAAGCTAAGGGATAGTGCTGGTTCTGTAGTATGTGGGAACTGAGCTGACTGGGGTCCACATGCTTACATTTTAATTGTCATTTTATTGTGATTTTGCGGTCTGACCATGAGTAGTTTTCGGTTCGATAGGAAGTCACATCTGGGAAGATGCAGGCCTGCTTGCGGAATTGGAAGTGTGTAACAGCTTGCTGGCTGTTACTGAGAGTCACTCAGCTTCTTTGATCATTCTAATTCTTAGCTGAGCATAGAAGTCAGAACTTAAAAAATATATATTTTTGAGATGTATTTAGGAATTGATAGAGTCTGTAATGCGTCATAGATCCACTTTCTTTCTTCTGTATATGTCTTACATTTTCTTTTATGCTAAAAGTGAAAATGTATGAGGTTAAAAAACTGAGGCATATGGAGGGCATTGGAAAGCCACACATATACTTAAAAAACTAATAATAATTGTGTTTATTTTTTATTGTGGCTTGCTTTAACCTGCATAGTTATCTTACCTAGTGTGTATGCAATTTTGGTCAGTCAGTATAACCGGAAGTAATGAGATTTTAAGATAAATTTAATGTAAAATTACAAGTTTGGTTTAAATATATTTTCTAACTACATATTACAAGTTAAATATTTCTACAACTGGGATAAAATCTATAGATTTTGATATGCTATAAATATCCACCGCTTTTGGGTATGTATTAGTGTACATATGCACTGTGTATTTCATTCAAATGAAATGAGAAAGGATATAATGAAGTAAAAATAAATTTTCCATAAGCTTATGAGTAAGACTGTTTCGGTCTTAAATGATTTTAATACGTGTAAATTCCCTTTAAACTTTAATTCCTGCTCACCCTTCTGTTAATGACTTAGAAGATCCGTAAATTGCCGTGGGTGGCTGCAAGTTTCCGAAGTAAGGCTCTGGCTCACAAGGGCCTTTTCTCTTCTGACTTCCAGAGTTAATATAGAAAACGAGGTGCTGAAATCCGGGTATACGAGTCGTGACCTGGTTATTCTGGAAAATGATGACCCTGGAGGAGTTTTTGAATTTTCTCCTGCTTCCAGAGGCCCCTATGTTATAGATGTAAGTATGAACTTCATTCCGTGTTTGCCACTTCAGAAGAATGATATAGAGGGGCTTGAACTTTGTTTTTGTTTTTAGGAAGGAGATTCTGTAGAGCTCCACATTATTCGATCCCAGGGGGCTCTTTTAAAGCAGTTTCTATACTACCAAGTAGAGCCGCGGGATAGCAATGACTTCTACGGAAACATGGGTGTCCTGGAGTTCCAGCCCGGGGAAAGGGAAATCGTGATCACCCTGCTGTCAAGACTGGACGGTATTCCAGAGGTACTGAGCTTGTCTGTGCTTTGTGTCTGTGGAAGGCTGTAGGATCCGGAATATCACAACACAAGTATTTGGAGTATTGGCAAGGAGACATAAGGCATAAGTGCCTATGCCCAGAAAACTAGAGCTAGAAGCTTAAAAAACAAATATTCATTCTAACTAATGGACAGGTGTATATTTACCCAACAAAAAGAAATAACTGAACAAACCAACAATTGGAGACCTGGAGTGTCTGATCAGTTAAGTTATAGTTATGATCAGCCTTGCTTTATGTGACCTTTATTCTCTGAATTTTTAATGATGTGGCTTTGAACTAGTTTTGCATTTAATTGCTTTTCTTTTCTTTTTTTCTTGGGGGGGGGGTACCGGGGATCAAACTCTGCACCTTGCGCTTGCTGGGGCTACTGAGCTATCTCCTCAGCCCAAAGTTGCCTCTCTAAAGGAAACAAGTTTAAGTTTTATATTAGCGGAAACAGGTACAGTACAGTACCATTATGTTTGTGTACCCGTGCAGAGCTGGTCAGTGACAAGGTTCCAGCGTCTCGCCAATTTGGAAATTGTCACTGCTCATCTTTTTCCTTTTTGGGTAATGTACACTTGTAGCTGGTATATTTCAGTTGACAGAAAAATGTTAAGAATCTTTTTAGGAATAGTCTCAGCTCTTTGGCCTTTTCAGGAGTTGTTTCTGAACAACTGCATGTAGTAGTAGTCTCAACCACGTGCATACGTTCCTCATGCCCTCTGCGCTTTCTCACCTGTGTGTCACTTCAGCTGGACGAGCACTTCCGGGTGGTCCTCAGCAGCCACGGAGCAAGGGAAAGCAAGCTGGGACGCGCCACGGCTGTCAACATAACAATCCTGAAAAACGACCACCCTCACGGGGTGATAGAATTCGTCTCCGGTGATCTCACTGTGACGATAAATGAAAGCAAAGGAGACGATATCTATAGTGGTAGCGTATTTTGCTTCTTATATTTTATTTTAGTCTACTGAAGAGGAAGTTAATCATGGTTTTAATTCCCTTCTTCAGCAGCTGTTTCCCGTTTTCCGTCCTGCCTTAGCAATTATGGGTAGTGTAGAAATTGGTCTTTATAGAAATCACACTTAGGATTGCCATTTTTCCTTCTTACAAAGCATGCAGCGATGCCAGTGATGTCAGCTCTAGTCTGCTTTCAGTTAATCGTGTGCAGTACATTTTGAACACCGAGCCTTGCAGGAAGGAAAAATATCATACTAAGTGTTACTGCTAGGAAACTATTTCAGGGGCCAAGAATGAGAAATACTGTACTTTCAAGGCAGTGTCCGGGGAAGGAAAGGGCTCTCGCGTGCATGCGTGAGGTTTCCCTGCATGCCTTCAGCGGTTGCCCTTATAGGACTTTATCATAACTGTACTGGGCGAGTCACCATCCTGTTCCCATGCCAAATGACTTATGAATTCCCCACTGTGATAAAAACGATGCAGTCTATTTCTGTTATAGTTACATGACTTCTGAAGGCTGAGTAGGCGAGCGTGTTTTTATGTGAACCTTGGAGAAAGAACAAATGGGTGTTTATTAGAAAGAGGTGCCATTTTTATTTTGAGCAATTTCTTTCCTTGTGTTAAAGTTCAGTCTGTGTGTTCATATTTGTTCAACTTATGTTTGTACTTTACAGCTGTTTACGGTGTAATAAGAAATCGAGGCAGCTTTGGTGATGTGGGCGTGTCTTGGGGAGTAAGTCCCGACTTTACACAAGATGTATTTCCTGTGCAAGGGACTGTTTTCTTTGGTGATCAGGAATTTTCAAAAAACATCACCATATACTCCCTTCCAGATGAGGTAAAAGTTCCACATGCCACTCTCCATTTTGTTTATTTTTGCTGCATTATCATTGTTATTAAATATATGGTAAGAGATTCTGTGATAAAAGTATGTGATGTCTCATATAAGGCAAAAGGGCAGCACTTTCTGGCTTACCTGAACACGTGTTTCATTGTTAGAACTGATAGTGGTCAGTGACCCAGCTGTGGGTCAGATTTCAGGGACTCAGCCTGTGGGAGAGGTGTAGCCCTTGCTGGTTTTTTTTTTTTTTGTTGTTGTTGTTGTTGTTTTTTTGTTTTTGTTTTTTTGGCAAGGGTCTAAGGGTGTTCAGGGTCTCACTACTAGATCGAACTCGTAGTGATCAGCCTGTTTACAGCCTCCCAAGAGCTGGGATTACAGGTGTGCACTACCATGCCCAGTCTCAATTGTCACCTCAGTATGCGCTGGGAGTGAGGCTGGCACGGCAGGCTCAGGATCAAATCCCTGGACCCTGTGTCTGCTTGCAGGTGCTTTAATCCACTGAGCTATTTGGCTGGCCCCCCTTGCTGGGACTTAAGCCCCTTGAAGAAAGGCCATTTACCATGTACCACCTAGCATGAACTCAGAGGCAGGACTCTGCCACAGGGATCATGGAGCCCAGATATGGTTTTGTCTCCTGATGGTAGAAACAGCTTGGAAACACTGGAGAACACACCTTTCTCTAGAAGGTAGCACTTAGAAAACTTTATTTGCCTGGCTCTCAAAGACAGTTCTAGCACTTTGTAGCTTCCAGGGTGGGCTAAGGAATACTTCTTATGGATGATGTGGAAGAGAAACTGCCCACCACCCTGCTACTACAGGTAGGCTCAGTGGTGTGGGAATCTCACCTGGTCAAGAGGTGGAGGTTAAGATCTGCCTCTGTTACTCTTCTCTCAGTGCTGGGACAAATACCTGACACTCAAAATGAAGGAAGGAAAGGTTTATGTAGGTCACAGTTACTGAAGGTTTCAGTCCATACTCGGCTGGCTTGAAGGCAGAGCGGCACAGAGCAGAGAGCATCCATTCATGGCGGCAGCAGAGAACAAGAGAGCAAAATGGAGACGTGGCAGCAACAATGGCTGCAGAGAGCAAGTCTTTCCCCTCCCTATCTGCCCCAGGTTAGGTGTAGCACTCACACCCATAATCCCAGCAGTACTCAGACCTATAATCCCAGCGGAAAATGAGTTCATCACAAACTCTCGAAGTCTGCCCCATGACTCCATCAGGCTATGGGGGGACAACTAGACATGATCCATAACAAGCTCCTCACACGCACTCACTGGAAGCTCAGCGGAGTTTGTAGGAGGCCAGAGAGTGCTGGCTGAGCTTAGAGACTCATGGTAGAAGTGCTCTGTTGTGTCTCAGAAAGTTACATTTCTGTCCAGTTTTTTCCTTACAAACAGCATCATTCTCATTTTCATACAGAAATGATAGAATCTTCATGGTATGTCTAGTTTTAGACAATGTAAGGCAAAATATCTACATTTCCATTACATTTTATAGTTAATCAAAATGAAGCAGCTGCTTAGATAAATGCTCATTTAAATAATTTAGAAGGTTTCTGAATCTTGCATTAGTACTTTAGAAAGCTTCTGCCTTAAAAATGGAAGTGAACATTAGCACAATTAATACAACCTTTTTTTTTCTAAAAAAAGAAATAATTTAAGAATGTATAATTTAATCTGAGCAACTACTTTGACAACAGTGTGCAATGGATTAACCATTGTTAATTTCCTATTATCTTGTTTTGAAATTCTGTGTCTTTGTTTTTTCTCTTTAAAATCAAACGAAACATGTATCATTTAATTCTGTGTATAAACTATTAGACATAAAATGTTTAACGTTTCCTCAAAGATTCCAGAGGAAATGGAAGAATTTACCGTTACGCTTCTTAATGCAACTGGAGGAGCTCAAGTGGGAAATAAAACAACCGCAACCCTGAGAATCAGAAGAAACGACGACCCCATCTATTTTGCAGGTAGGATGGCTATGTTTTGGAGTCAGCTTACATCTTTATTTCTTCTTTTAAAAAATAATTTTATTGAGAAACAAATAGCAATGAAACAGTTTCAAAACCAATTACTAGCACAGTTTCGATAATTAATACATTGCATATTGTCTTAGTGGTTATTCATTGCATAAGACGCAGACATGATATCCTGTCCACAAACACTATTAGAATAAGTCTCTCTATTCATTGAATTAAGAGAATGTAGCTATATACCTATCCTGTTTTTAATATACTGATACAAAATGGTCGTTCATTTCTATCCCCTTTTTTGTTTAGTTTTGTCAGAGAAGGGTATTCCATTGTCATTTAAATACTGTAGGTGCATGAATTCAGGAAAATATTCCAATATAGTCCAGTAGTCCATAATAGTAGTGGGTTTTCCATGGGACTGGCAAAATCAGAAGTTGTTGACTTGAGCCTTTTACAGGTCAGCATATTAATATGGTGTTACTTTGTATACTTCGTTTTTATACTTTCTGCTGAATGGTTAAGACCAAGATAAAGCAAGACCCATATAACAAGAAATGTAACTTTTGTATCAGACAAGGTCAGTCAAATTCCCTCAGGATTTATCCTGTAACCCTGTGCCACTGTTTGCAGATCCTTTGTCAGTGTCAACCATGTGGATGAGTCATGGCCATTGCTTGACCAATTTGCTCTCTGTGAAAGCCTGAGAGAATGTTTTTCTCGCCATGTGACTCTCCTTAGGCACATTCTACATCATTGATCACTTTCCTCTGTGGCCCCATAATCTCCTTGATCAGAAAATTTGGGACACCACTGAGATACAGGATGTTACAATACAGGTTCTCCTATTCCTTTCTTTAACAACATATGGATTTTAAAATAGCTTTACACTGAGGCTTTTCAACAAAATGCTGTCGATGCTTGTTTAATATGACTTCATGATTCATTTGATGATTGTGATTCATTTTGAAATTAAAAAACAAATCTAGATATCTTCTGAAGCAAAGAGAAAATAATGTAAGTACTGTTTTGTTAAAATACATTGAGTTAATCCCTTTAGGTTATTGTATGAGGGTTTTTTTCCTTTGTGCCGAAATGAGCATTCCTGCACATGTTTTGAACCCTGTGTGGACAGTTTGGCCTATTGGTGCACCTGAGGGGTGGCCACTTTCTGTTGTAGCCAGAAATTACTAGACATGCTCATTGAGAAGTCTGCATTTTTTCCTTTTACTGCTATCTTTAGAATGCCAGCTGAGGCCTCTTTCAGTTATATTTTTGAGAGTTAATTGATTTCTAATTCTTTGCTAAATCCTTTTTTTTTTTTTTTTGTAAGTTGGAGATAGTTCAATTTATTGGTATTGGATCCTTTCGATTTCTTGAATTTTACTGATTCCTATTTTAAGCCTGAGTTCTTAACAAAGTAGTCTATAATTGAGCCTTCTGCCAACTGCTGGCAAAAGTAGAACGTAAGGTATGTGGGCAAAATCTCAGCTTCAGCAGAAGGTCCATGCAGTGGGAGCTGAGGGCTGGAAGAGCGTGCAGCCAACTGGGAGCCGGGAGCAGCAGTTGACTCCCCAGGAGCTGGGCAGAAGCAAAACCCTTGGCTGCTGAAGTCAGTGTGGGGACTGCAGCAGAGTTAGGGACGGAGCCGACTCGAGGCGCAGATGCATACAGGGCACTTGTGTGGGTGGAGCAGAGAAAGAAACAAGAGCAACCTGTGGGCATGGGGGTGGAGTCAGCAAAACCCACGTGTTCCTTTCCACGCATTGCAGAACCTCGCATAGTACGGGTTCAGGAAGGGGACATGGCGAACTTCACTGTTCTAAGAAATGGATCTGTCGGTGTGACCTGCTCTGTCCAGTACGCTACTGTGGATGGGAAGGCAACTGCCAGAGATGGCGACTTTGTTCCTACTGAAAAAGGAGAAACCCTGGTGTTTGCCATTGGCAGTAGAGAGCAGAGCCTCTCCGTGTATGTTAATGAAGATGGTGTCCCAGAAACTGATGAGCCCTTCTATATAATGCTCTTTAACTCCACAGGTGAGTGCTGTACCGAGTCTATTGCTTCAGGGCTCTGCTAGGATGACAGGAAGGACTGTTGTTCCCAGCTGTGCCTGGGAGCTCCCCACTGTCGTCCATGTCTGCTCAGGCACACAGCTGTTATTCCATGCCTTCCTTGAGGACTGGGATAAAGAGTGACTGGGGAAATGTCATGTATAGTGCATACATTATGATATTATTATTTTAAAAATATTTATTGATTTAATACAGGGTCTTGCTATACAGCTCAGACTTATAGTGATACTCCTTCTCAGTGCTGGGATTACATGTGTGTGTTACCATGTCCAGTTTCAGTCACCGGCATGGTATGCCCAAGGTTCCGGTGCTAGCATGGCTTGCAGTACTGGGGATTGAACTCAGCACCTTGTGCTTGCCAGGCAGGCACTTAGACCGCTGAGCTATCTCTCCTTCCCAACTGTGGTGGGTTTTTTTCCCCCCTTTTCACAATAGATGAGAAGGAAGAAATTATATTAGGGATGGAAATCCCACCGGTGAAAGCAACTGGCACTGGGAATTGGGCTACTTGGGTTTTGTCTGCTTATCTAATGACTTGAAGGGTCCCTAACTGTAGCCCTTTCCATCCTGCACATTTGGTTGGGAAGCTTAAGTCTTGAGGCCACTGACTGCACCTTGTTTGCAATTCCCTGGAGCTATATCCTAAAGGGACGTGGTCTGCAGATAGGGAATGTACTCTTCCTTCTTCTCCATGCTGTAGATGGAGCAGGATTTCACTCCACTGTTTCCACCCACAAGATGTTTTGTTGCCATCTTTACTAAACTGGAAGCAGTATATCTTGTTTTAATCTTTATTCCTTTTAAGAGTAAGGAACTTTTTCCCTGAACCTTTTGAGTGCGAGTAAAATATCTGATGCCCCATCACTGCAGAAGACTGAAGCGCAAGTGTCCTACAAACAAGGACGTTTTCCTACTTGGCTACAATACAACCATCATAATCAGGTCGTTAACATCGCTGCAGTCATTGTCCGAAGCCCCTTTCAAGTTTCTTCAGCAGTGCTCTTTCTAGCAAAATGATCCTTTCCTGAATTATTCATTATATCATATTATTACATTGTATAATATCTCATGGTGATATTGTGCATTGTAAATTTAGTCCTAAATGTTTATATTTTGTATAATACTGCAATGTATTTTGTATATAAAATATAGTTTGTACATTGTGTATAATGGTACATGCATAACATTTACATTGTTGTATCTCCCTGATCCCATCAACTTATGTGGCTCCTCAGTGTTGACAATACAGAAGAACATACGTGGCATATCCCTCATTTTAAGTTTGTGTGATAGTTCCTTATGATTACATTAGATTTTTATATATTTGGTACAAATTCAACAAAAGTGATTCTGTGTTATTAAAACACTTCAGCCCTAACAAGATTTTGATTTGTCCCTTTATTATGATACTCACTTTGACAACCATTGAAGTCATGACTTCTAGGCTTTTCTTCTACATTTTTGAAATTGTAATTAATAGATATTTTGTGGGGGAGTTATTTTGAAACTATGTAAAATCATGTTACTCATGAATCTTTTAGACTGGGCGAGGTAGTGTGCACCTGTAATCCCAGCACCTGGGAGGCTGTAAACAGGAGGGACACTATGAGTCTGGTCTGTGTAGTGAGACCCTATAGACCCTGTACTAAGTACATAAACAAACAAACAAAAAAGAAACTTTCGATGTTTTCACATGCATGTTTTATCAGTATGGACTCATAATTTCCATTTAATGCAGTGGGGTATTTTTTACTATCACTTATTTTCGTGGTCATACTGTCCCAGATTTGACCAGTGCTAACCTATTCAAGAAGACTTCCTTATCTTCTTGACATATCTGATATTCTTTGAGTATTTAGTTTCTGGCCTAGCAAGCACATTTTATAGAATTCAGAAATCAGCCAATTCTCCTAATAGCCCTGATTCCTTATAGTGAAGAATGGGATTCAGTGACTGGGGTCTGAACACTAGGTGTGCTTATTGTTACCTAGAGTCCTCTTCGAGTACACAGATGGGGATAGACATGTGTACACGGGTATGTGTGTATGTGCATGCAAGCAAACTCTTGTTTTTGTAATTCTGTTAGCTGTGTATGTTGAAAGCTGTCAGTTTGCACCAGTAATTCCCTTCTTAGCAAGCAGCCCACACTGGGTTCTGTTTAGTTTCCTCCCTATTTGTCTCTCCCTTCTCTAGTAGGAAATCATCTCCACGGTCCTTCATGCATTACACAGCTGATGAATTTCCTGTGCACGTCACCTCTCTCTCTCTCTCTGCCTCTGCCGCCGTCCTGTCTTGGCACACTGAGGTTGTGTGGTGATTACCCCACTCGGGTTCTGACTTCCTGCTCAGGGCTGGCTCCCACCCCTAGTTTCACCTAGTGCCAGGCTGCCCTGCCCAGAGCACCAGCGCGAGTGCAAGTGCTGACCTTATGCTGTGCTTTGTGCTTTCTGGCATTTAGAAGAGGTGGGCAAAAAGAGATCTCTAGGGCTATTGAGATAACTCAGCGGACTAAGCGCTTGCTTAGGCAAGTGCAGGGGCCAGGGTTTGATCCCTGGTCATGGAGTCCAGGTATGGTGGTGCTTGCTTGTAATCCAAGCACTAGGGAGGCTGAAAACAGGTGGATCACTATGAGTCTGAGAATCTTTATGAGACCCTTCACACACACACACACACACACACACACACACACACACACACCCCACCCTAAAAAAAAGAGATCTCTTAATTTTTGTTTTCGCTGTTTTTTCATCATTCTTTCCTCTATTTTCCTTGCTGTCTCTCTTCCTGTCACCTTTCTCTCTGTCCTTTTTCTACTACACATTTTTAATATGGCTTAATGGAAAAAATCACACAGCCCCATTAAAACCTAAAACTATCTTATGGAAAGTTTGACTTTCTACAATAACAGCTACAAAAAAGTCAAATTTCAAAAAACACAGATCTTAATATAAATTAAAAAAATACATTTAAGACACTGATATGGACAGGAGTATTTTTATGTTATAGAGTAATTCTTCATTATTTTAATGAAATAAAAGTATATGTCTCAGAAATTTGAAGTTAGAAGGAACTGAGTTTTTTATTTCAAATTAAGCTTTTGCACTGATATTCTCATTGTAAAGAAACTCATTTGTTTTCCACTGAAGTAGTTCTATAAACATTTTCTCAAAAGAAAAAACACTTTTTCTCATATATAGATATATATATATATGTATGTATATGTATGTTAGTATTTCTATAAATATCTTTTGAGAAACAGTAGTAGTTTGCATTTCTTCTATGACCTTCAGTAAGGAAATTCTTATAAAAAATTGCATATAACTATAAACTTAATTTAAAAATATAAATTTTTCAAATTATTATTTAATTTTTAATAATAAGCTAGCCTTTTTGTTACCTTGAGATTTTCCTTTTTATTTAGGTGATACAGTAGTATATAAATATGGAGTTGCCACAGTTATAATTGCAGCTAATGATGACCCAAATGGCATTTTCTCTCTGGAGCCCATAGACAAAACAGTAGAAGAGGGAAAGACTAATACATTTTGGTAAGTACATTCGGATAAGGAAAGTCAAAATTAGATAAATGGATAATTAGAAATACTGGTAATATTTCAAAATTAAAAAAAAAATGGCCAGGAACTGTGTAATTTTTAAATTGGCTGTCTAAATGAGTAGTAAATTTTGTTCATGCTGCTTCCATTTATCTACTTAAAAATTATAGAAACCAAAACACTTTAGCTGGTTACAGAAATAATTCTTTTACCTTCCTCGCTCCTTCTTCATGAAGACAGAGAAAAGGAGGTCGCCTGAAGGCTTCATGAATGTGTTCTTTACGTGTCGTGTGACTGTTCTCACGCAGATACCGCTTTTCAAACAGGATTGCTAGTTATCCTCAAAACATCTTTCTATTCAGCTTAGAATTTATCTTCCACTCTGGAATTTGAAGACTTAAGTTGCTTTTTTTTTTTTTTTTTGTATTTTAGGGGAGGGTCTGCAAGGTGTTCAGGGTCTCACTACTTGTAGTCATCAGCCTGTCTACAGCCTTCCAAGAGCTGGGATTACAGGCGCGTGCCACCACGCGCAGTCTCAATTGCCTCCTCAGCACGTCCTGGGAGCGGGGCCAGCACTGCAGGCTGGGGATTGAGCCTCTGGCCCCTGTACCTACTTGCAGGCGCTTTAATCTGCTGAGCTACTTGGCTAGCCCTAAATTGCGTTTATTATTTAAAATTCTACCTCACTTTCTCCCTCTCCATGAAATTCCTCCTGGTTACTCAGCAGGGCAAGTTCATTCAAAGAGGATAAATGCAAAACATTTTTCTGAGATAAGCTAGAACTCCCTTGGTAGAGTTGGATTCAATATTTACAAACTTTTCCAAACAATAACGATGCGATTTGTGCTGTAGGATCGTGAGGCATCGTGGGCACTTTGGAAACGTTTCTGTGGGCTGGCAGCTCTTTCAGGAGGGCTCTGCCCTGCAGCCAGCACAGGAGTTCTACGAAACCTCGGGGACAGTCCACTTCATGGAGGGAGAGGGAGCAAAGCCGATCGTTCTCCACGCTGTCCCAGACGATATTCCTGAATTCAATGAATTGTATGTTCTAAAGCTCATAAACATTTCAGGTACTGTGTTTTTTATCTTTTTTTTTACCACCAAAAATTTTTATTTATTTATTTATTTCCTTATTTGTTTTTTGTGGACCCAGGGATTGAACTCAGGCCCTTGTGCTTGCCGGGGACGTACTGATTTCACTGAGCCATCTCCCCGGCCCCTAAAAATTTTTATTGTGTCTATTTTTTATTAGTTTTCTTTTTTGAGACAGGGTTTCCCTATGCAGTTCGGGCTGGCCTTGAATAGCCTGTGCTGGCCTCGGACTCAGAGTGATCCTTCTGCTTCAGCCTCATGAGTACTGGGATTACATGTGCGGCAAAAAGTCTTATTTTATACTTAAGTAGCATTGTGTAGAAAATTAAATTGATACGTGTGTCTTGATTGCCTGGTTTTAAATAACAAAGTATCCTTCTTGATAAAGATGTTTGTCTTGGTGCTGAGGATTCAGAGCCTCGACACACTTTGCCATAGAGCCGAACTCTTCACCATGAAATGTTAGGTTTCCGTTCACTTTGTGGTCCTAGCTGGGTTCAGTTTTATGGGTGGAGGGGGGACATCCATCCTGAAACTTGTAAGTAGATTTTTTCCATACTTAATACAGTGTTCCCAATGGAAGATTATTAGAAATTATGAAATACACATCTTAGCTTACAGTTTGGCCTTTGTGCCATAAACAGTTTTCCCATCAATTTTGATTTTGGCATGGAAACTAAATCTCTAGTTAATGTTTTCTTTCCAGATTTGACTGATTGATGAACCAATATTATTTGACATCATGGGCCTAAGATGTAGTGACACCTTATGGTAACACTGTTGTTCATTGACAATTTAGAAGCTTGTCTGCTGAACAAATTCTTTTTTAAAATACTTAAAATAGAAAGCAGTTCAAATTCTAGTTTTTCAGTTATCTTTTTTTTTTATTGCAGGTGGGTCTCCAGGTCCTGGGGGCCAGCTAGCAGAAACCAACCTGCAGGTGACAGTAATGATTCCATTCAATGATGATCCTTTTGGGATCTTCATCTTGGACCCGGAGTGTTTAGAGAGAGAAGTGGCAGAAGACGTCCTTTCAGAGGACGACATGTCTTACATTGCCAGCTTTACCGTTCTGAGGCACCAGGGAGTCTTTGGTGATGTACGAGTAGGCTGGGAAATCTTGTCCAGTGGGTTTGCTGCTGGTTTGCCCCCAATGGTGGACTTTTTACTGGTTGGAATTTTCCCTGGTGCTGTGCAGTTACAGCCGCACGTGCGCCGTCACCATAGCGGAACAGATGCTTTGTACTTCAGTGGACTAGAGGGTGCGTTTGGGACTGTTCATCCGAAATACCACCCGTCTAGGAATAACACCATTGCACACTTTACGTTTTCAGCTTGGGTAATGCCTAGTGCTAGAACGAATGGGTTTGTGATAGCGAAGGATGATGGTAATGGAAGCATCTACTATGGGGTAAAAATTCAAACGAACGAATCCCATGTGACACTGTCCCTTCATTATAAAACTTTGGGGTCCAATGCTACATACGTTGCCAAGACAACGGTCATGAAATATTTAGAAGAAGGTGTTTGGCTTCATCTTCTGATTATCCTGGATGATGGCATAATTGAATTCTACCTGGATGGAAGTGCAATGCCCGGAGGAATCAAGAGTCTGAAAGGAGAAGCGATAACTGATGGTAAGTGTCTTTTCACAAGTAGGACTTTGATATTCACATGTTTTAAAATCCTCAATTAAATTTTTTACTTTTAAAAATAGAGCAGAAATATAAAACTTTGGTTTTATATTAGTTTAACAAGACTATGTGCCTACCAACACCATGATAAATTCTGCACTACATATTGCAGTAGTAAATCAGGCAAAGTCATTGTCACTGAAGCACCAGAAATAGGCTGTAGGAGATAGAGAGAGAGGTCTGCAAACGCATCACTACCTTGTAGGGACAAAGACAAATTATGAAGAAGGGGCAGTTCTTCCTACTGTGTGTAGTGAGGATGAAGAATGATAGAAAGGCAAAGAACAAGCAAAATACAGAAGTGGGAAACAGTGTATTGTATCTGAGATTTACCTGCTGCAGACTGTGCTGCCACACTGAGGCGCGCATGTATATCCTCCGGGATGATGTTTTTGTTCTTCTGGGCGCATACCTAGGAAGGGACTCATGAGGTCCAGTGGGGCCTCTGATCTTGCGTTTCTAATTTCCACCATGGTTGCACCAGTTTACACTCCCACCAGCAGTAGAAAGGCTTCCTTTTCCCCCGGTTTCTCCAGCATTTGTTATTAGTTGCTTTCTTAATGATAGCCATTCTTTCTGGGACAGGATGGAATCTTAGCATTAATGTGCATCTCTCAAATGACCCGTGATGTTGAACATTTTTTCTTTTTCTTTTCTTTTTTTTTTTTTTTTTTTTTTTTTTTTTGTGTATTCATCTCAGATGCCCATTTTTGGATGGGATCTTTAAGCCTGGGGGAAAGTCTGCTTGACTTCAGTTCTTTGTAACATCTCCAAGACGT